TGTGTGTGTCAGTCTGTGTGCGTGTGTGTGTCAGTGTGTGTGTGTGTGTGTGTGTGTGTGTGTGTGTGTGTGTGTGTGTGTGTGTGTGTGTGTGTGTCAGTCCTCTCAGTGGTTCGAAAGGAGGATTGTGGGAGTGTGCGAGCGGATGATGAGGGGCGGTCGGTGGTCAGGGGGAGGAGGAGAGAGGCTTCATCACTCCGTTCGTCACCGTGGCATGACGCTGCTCCACCTGGCTGCTGCACAGGGATACACACACCTGATCCACACACTCGTACACTGGAGGTAAACACACACACACACATTTTCCTGTTACTGCTGTTGTTTTTGCTTTGTTGACATTGTTGTTGCTGTTCACAGGAATGTAAACAGCGACAGTCTGGACCTGGAACAGGAAGTCGATCCTCTGAATGTCGACCACTTCTCCTGCACGCCACTGGTAAATATACACACACAAACATCAGTGGCCAACGGGGTCAAAGTTCATTGTTCAATATTTCAAATTTGTACCAAGAAGAGGAACTTCTACCTTAAAACACGAAGTTTGATCCCTAAAGAGCAGCTTGCATCCTGTTGTGTTACTTGCTGTCGTATTGCTAACTGAGTTGCAACTAAAGGTCAACTTTCATTGTCCAGCAGTAACGCAGCGAGCGCCATATGAGGAATGTAAAAGACAACTTCAACACTAAAAGAGTGACTTTAGTTTTCAACAACTGCTGAAGAGCAATCCTTAATCAATACATGAATTAAAGCAAATCTATTCACTTTCTGGATAGAGACCATCTTCCATCCTCATAAATGGAAGTGTTGTCACGCCAACATCTGGTTGCTGCTTCCCTCACCTCTGTGTCACGTGTATTCCAGATGTGGGCATGTGCGCTGGGCCATCAGAGGGCGGCAGAGCTCCTCTACAGCTGGAACAGTCTGGCTCTGGGCATCCCTGATTCTCTGGGACGCTTGCCTCTTGCCGTTGCTCGCTCCCGAGGACACACTCGCCTCGCCACGGCGCTGGAGGAGCTGCACATGCAGCGCACGCTCGCTAACGTGGTGTCCAGAGACGTGCACACGCCTCCAGCAGACACGCACACACCGCAGCCACCACTGTCCCCTCTCTCCACCAGCCCAGATACAGGTACTGCTTACACCTGTTGCCCATCATGTGGCCTGAATCCATCTCTGTGATTGGCTGTAACAGTATGCACTCTTCCCAACAGGTCTGAGCTCCTCCAGCAGTCTCCCCTCCCCCAGTGACCCCTCTTCACCCTCCCCTAGCTCTGCTTACTCCAGTGGCCCCGCCCCCATGGAGACATCGCCCTCTTCCCCTTCGTCTCCTTCCTCCTCTTCCTCACTATCTGTCTCCCCTCCCTCCCCCTCCTCCCTACCTCTGGAGTCCATGTGGGGGGAGGAGACAAACACCACTTTCAGCACAGGTAACATTAGCGTTCATTTATTTGTAATTCGCCGACGTACCTGATGAGGTCACTGATTGTCAATTTCGATCTTGCAGGTTTGAACCCTGGTGGTTCCAGAGACTCCCCCCTTCACCTCATGGACTATGAGAGCGTCTCTGCCAGTCACGCTCAGTCATACATGCACACGGCGAGCAGGCGGCGGTCGCACGCCACACTGGAGGAGCAGCTGCTGAGCTACAGTGAGAATGCCGAGAACGAAGGCGAGGAAGAGGCGTATCTGGAGGAGGAGGTGCTGCAGGTACCAAAATATAGTCCCGTACTTTAGACCAGACTCATTTTTTAAATGTATTTAATGAAAAAAAATTCACCGTTGCTATGGTTACCTTCCCCACACAACAGGTTGACATGGCAACGCTAGCAGAGCAAATCATCGAGGCAACCCCAGAGCGAATCAAACAGGAGGATTTCCCCAGGGGGGCGGAGTCACCACTCCGAGAAAGGTGGGACAACCCGGCCATACAGGACACCTGGCTGGCTACATACCTGGAAACGGTCGACACCCACGCACACTCCCCTCCCAGGTAAGCCCCGCCCCAAAAGAGGCCAGAAAAGTGTAACCATTAGAACCAAACGTTGTCATGAGATGTGTGCACATGTGCTTGCAGGCGTGTGTGCCCCCCCTCACCACTCAGCGCTTTAGCCCTCCAGAGGCTCCGCCCTCCCTCTTCTGCAGCATGGGCAGAATTCCTCAACGCCTCAGCCAATGGAAAGATGGAGCGAGATTTCGCCCTGCTGACGCTGACAGACGGCGAGCAGAGGGAGCTTTACGAGGCCGCCAGAATCATCCAGAACGCCTTCAGGAGATACAAGGTGCACATGGCGTTATGGGAAGTGAGGGAGCGAGCAATATTAGGCATAAAGGTTTCCTTCTAGTGCGGGGCGAGCCGTAATCCGCCTCTAAGTTTAGTCTGTGTGTCCAAGAACAGTTCAGTCCCGTAATCTAGTCCGATCGTTCACTTCCTTCTCCCCCAGCTGAATTTGGTCATGCTAGTCTAATTCTCCAAAGGTTTGTTAACAAGGGCTGAACTGTTAACAAAGCATTTGCAGCCATTCAGCACCAAAAATGTCTTTCTGTATTCTCCACTGCTCTTTATAAAATTTGTGTCTGCTAACAAAGAAAGAAATGCCCTCAGTATCTCAAACATCCACCTCATATATGCAGGATGTCTGCAGTCAGACAAGCATACCAGAGGAAATACATCCTTAAACTTCAGAGGTCACTCTTTCATACCATCCATCTGCTGTCATCTAGGTTTGGTTTGGCAGTTTATTCCCAGGAATCTTAGTATTTTCTCTTTATTTTCAGGGTCGGAGGTTAAAGGAGCAGCAGGACATGGCTGCGGCCGTCATCCAGAGATGCTACCGGAAGTACAAACAGGTGTGTGTGTGCTGAGCTGTTTGAGTTTGTCTCGAGCTTCACTAACACTAAACTAACCTGCCATGTCTCTTTACCATCTCTCTCTCTCTCTTTCTCTGGCTAGCTAACATGGATAGCTCTGAAGGTAATGTGGCTGACAGTAGACGTAGTGATGTGTAGTCAGTACATCGCCCTGTGTGTGTGTTGGTGTGTGGCTCACTGTTTAACGACCGCAGTAATGTATCCGTACTACCTCGAGCTCACGATGTCACTTTATTTTAGATCCAGTTTTCATTCGAGCTGGAACAGAGAGGCCCAAACCTGGGAAATTACATAAAATTGTTAAAGTAGGGCTTCACTGTGCAGCAATAAAATACTCAAAGATAACAACTTTATTGTCAAGTGACAAAGAAAAAAAAAATCACCTTTGACAGTGTAAAACAGCAAATATGTTCCCTTCTCTTTCAGTGGCAAAAGCAATGTAAGATAGTCCCAGCAAGTTATGTTCATCGAGATATTGAGTTCATAGCGGGATAAACTTTTACTATTACTGTGAAAGTAAAACTGAGATTAAGTTTATGCCCAACATGAACATCTTAAAAAACATGGTTCAACTCTGCTCAGAGGTTAAATGGGCGAAATGGAAAACAGAAAACAAGTGCTGTCAGCGTTAATCGCGTTAAAATGATGTTAACGCCATAACCGCATTAATGTGGCAAATCTCCGTTAGCGAGCTGATGCTGAGAGCACTGAGTAAAACAAAAAGAAAGTCAGATTTATAAAGAGTCCTGAACTGAGGTACGGTATTTGAGGTTCACCGGAGTGACGACATCAAACAGAAAACGGATGATGGATCATCTCTCCGTCAGTTTCTCTAAACACTGTTTCTTCTGTACGAACTCTAACACTCCGTTTGCCTCCTCAGTACGCTCTCTATAAGAAGATGACCCAGGCAGCCATCTTGATCCAGTCCAAGTTCAGGTCGTACTACGAGCAGAAGCGTTTCCAGCAGAGCCGGCGGGCCGCCGTCCTCATCCAGCAGTACTACCGCAGCTACAAGGAGTATGAGAGGCTCAAACAGGCACCAAGAGGCACCGCCTCCCACAACTCCAAGATCAAGTAAGACCTTATCACTCCTGAAACAAGCTAATAAACCTGGTCTGATCGCATGGAAACAAGATTCATTTCTGCCCACAAAAATAATGTAGCAATGACAGGTTAAGACGGTGGCTTCTTCCATACTCTTAAGTATAATAGTTTCCTAAAAGGAAAAAAAGTTTCATTCTGATTACAAATTGTTCCCTCAAAAAAACAAGGAAATTTTTATCTTTTCCCACAAGATAAAAATTTGTTCTCTCAACACAATGAACGAGTTTCTCCTTGTTCCTTCTGAATATGAATTTGTTCCTTCAAGAAGTACAACTTAGCCCTTAAATAAATAATTCTTTAAAACAGGTTAATAACTTGTTCAGTCAAGATAACTTTTTCCTTCAAAAAGGTAATTTGTTCCCTCAGGATAAAAACTTGAGGGAACAAGTTGCTGTCTTCTTTCTGTCGTCTGCAGAAAAATTATTTGTTTTCCCACAACAAGATCATTTGTCCCATCAGGATAATAACTTGCTCCTTTGGGATATTCACCAACGTGTTGAACATCTGGACATATGTTGTTAACTTGTTTCACACAAGAAAATAACTTTCAAAACCTTCTCTAAATATAATCACTTGTTCCCTCAAGTTTTTCTCGAGAAGATCAGTTGCTGTGCTGCCTTCATGTCAACAATGAAGCTTAATGTAAAAGTTCTCTTTAAATAAGCCTCTGCATCGAAACACAGATTTAGTTCCTCATTTTTAAGTAAGTCCCATTTATTAATGTATCACTTTTTAAGAAGAGAATGTGCTACAAAGTGCTTTACAGGGAACTTAAGTTGTGTTTTTTGTGTGTGATGCATTTTTAAGGCCATAAATTAAGAGTGAGGATTTTAAACTGATATCTGTAGCTAACCACAAGCCATTGCAACTAACAGTGGAGTGATATGTGAGACTTTGAGTGTGAGTTGAAAGCCTTGCAGTAACCCGTATCCGCTGCCATCAGAAGGTCATTTGTGACTTTAAGGAGAGCTGTTCCTGCGGAGTGTAACTTCCTGAAACCTGACTGAAAGTTATCAAGAATATTATGCGTCTCAAGTGCCTTACTTACTTGTGACCAAACAGCTTTTTCTAATATTTCTGTAATGATGGGAAGTTTCAAAATGGGTCTGTAGCTTGTCTGTGGTGTGCAGTTCTTAGCAGAGGTTGAATATCTGCTGTTCAGAGCACCTGGGTAAAGAGCCAGAGAATAATTGATCAAAGTGACCACAGAGGGCCCAATTTAAACTTTAAGATAAGGGTTTCGTTTGAGTTAGATCTCTTAAGTTGTGAGGTTTAGAAACACACACTGATGACAGATATTTTCTTTTCTCGTTGTCATTAAGGGGGTCGTTTCTGACAAAGAAACAGGACCAGGCAGCCCGCAAGATCATGAGGTTTCTGCGGCGCTGCAGACACAGGTAACAGGAGGAATTTTAAAATTATAATGATATTTTTTCTGTCAGCCCGAATTGAGTTTTAAATATATTTTTACAGGATCAAAGAGCTGAAACAGACGAGGGAGCTGGAGAGGAGAGGACTGACCACCTAAACCATTTCAACCTTTTCTCCTCTCCTCCAGCGGGGAGAGGGATGACGGCGGGAACGAGAAAGCTCAGCAGGTTTAGTTTGATGTATACAAAGAGAAAAACCAAACGAGGAAACGACAGATGGAGAGAAGGACAGTGACGGAGAGATGCCTTACCCCACGCCAACTCTATCTATCTACTGATCTATCTATCAATCTATCTATCGATCTATGTCTTCTCTCCTGTTGAATGTAGCTGTCTGTCTGCAGCTTGAAGCGCTCCGTTCGTAAGCAGCTCAGCCTCCATGGGCTCGCTTCTTTGCCCTGAGCAGTGTCTTGTAGTGAGATCCTGGCGGTCTTTTCTTACTCCTCATCTGACCGGACAATCAGAGCTTTCAGTCTATATTTACAAACTGAAGATGATATCAGGAATTGATCTGATCAGTGAGTTCACTGACAGAACAAAATGAACTGTTTTTGTAATAAAATAAATCAAGCTTTTTTTAGTAAAAACAGAAAAAAACAATCCTCAGATTAATTGCTGAGGATCCCTGTTAATATTGACCGCACTGCATTTGTTTACCTTTATATTTATTTATTGATTATTTTCAGTAAAGTGCGGTGAATAAAAACCTTCCTCACACTGCCAGATTGAAATCCTCTATCGGGCGCTTCTTCCAACAGGTCTGCAGTTTGATTTTTCCTTTCCATAACAATCAACAGCAGATGAGTCAGAGACAGGAAGTTAAGGAAGAGCGCTTTGTTTTCACAAGGAAGCACACTGAGAAAGCTGCCTCCTGGGAGGCACAGCTCAGGGCACAGTGAGCCCACATCCAAGTGTTGTTCTTTTGTTTTTTGTCCCATAATTCACTGCTGTTTGTCATTTTGGGGTTTTTTTTATATGAGGGATCGAAGGGACGTGTGAATGTTTGATTTCAGCTGCAGCACTTTTGAATGGAGCTCTGCTTCTTTTGAAATGTACATGATTCTATCAAAGCTACTTATAAATATATTTAAACACAGCCACATATAGAAACATATATACATATATATATTCTAACGTTGGACTTTATAGATGCTCTGGATGTTTTTATTTATTACAGCATGAACTGTTCCTGTGAGTGTGAGTGAATGTGTGAGTGTGAGTTCTGCACAGACTGTGAGGTCGAGTCTTAATAATCCCACCCCCCAGGCGACGGAAACTTTCCCCGAACCCTGACCTCTGACCTCAGTCAGATGCTGATTTTTCTGTTTTAGTGAGAAGATCTGATCAGAACACAGAATTAAACAACTTGTTTATTGTTTACCTTAAGTACCTTAGAGATCTGGTTGTTGCTGCCTGATCTAAACCAGAAGCTTCATTTATTCTTCACATGTGCAAAAAGGGCTTCTTCCTGTTCCTGCCTTTCACAATAAAGGCTCTTAGTGTATCCACTTGCAGAAGATGGACATTGATAAAATGTAAAGCAGATTGTAGAAACAAAATCAAATTTTATTTTCAGGTTTATTAGATCCTAAACATGTTAATATATATGTTAATCAGTATTCATGTTGGATTTATTTGGCAGTTTTTAAGGAACCAAATCTCAGAGAGAAGTCTGCTCCAGGTTTAGGGAATAAAAAGTAGTAGATTTGTGGAACACAGAGTCCGATGTGGGGAAGTAGAACTTGCAATAAGTACTGCCACCAAGGGAGTGGAGGGATCCAGATCACTTTATGAAAAAACTCCACAATTTCTCTGCTTCCTGTTTCGATGTCTTCTACTGTACAACACCTGTCAATTAAAACAATGCAATGAGTGCTTCACTCATCAAGCACCTGGATAAGACTTAAAGGGCCCTCCATCCTTTATCTTCCATCTATCTGAATTCAGGCTGTGGTGGCAGGAGGCTCAGCAGGTATTCTGGATGTCCTTCCAGATGCTCAACAGTCTAGTTCCCCCCAGGATTCTCCTCCCAGTTGAGCGATAAACCTTTAAGTAAGATAGCAACACAGATGCAGGTAGTAAGATGTGTTTTTTTAAATGATTATTATTAATGGTACTTTGAACTTTTAAGCACAGCCGCTTCCATTTGATCAAATCTCACGTTATTCTTCCTCTGATGAGGTCAGAGGTCAGATGGAGCTCCTTTCTCTTCCATATTTTAATCTGTGCAGCATTTTTATTTCAGGGCAACATTGAGGACAAAGTACTCTCCAAGTCCTGCTGTGTTTTTTAACGATGTGCTTTTGTTAGGCGGACACTGAAGCGCCCGAGCATGAGCTTTCATTACGAGTTGTTTGCTCTCAGTTTTTCTTCTTCAGCCATTGCAGTGAAGCTTTGCATGAGTTTGTATCGACTTGTTCTGCATTTTAAACCTTTAAGATGAAATCATTGTTGTATGACTCAGATGATTAAATCAACTGTTTGCTACTCGTCTCTGTTGTTTGGTTCCTTATTTTAATAACTGAACCAAAGTAATATATTTGTGATTTTCTTCACCCTTTTGTGTATTTCTGTATTAATGTGTAAATTAGATCCTAAAAGCTTTTAAAGCAAAGTTTAACCTTTGTTAACTTGTCATTCCTAAGGGGAGTCAATCCCTATAAACTCCAGTGTTAAGACTTTGCAGTCCAACTTCACAGCAGACATAAACATGTTTACAGCCTGATACATAAAACTGCTCCTCTCTCTCCACACTTGTGAACAAGAGGCCGAAATACTTACACTCCTACACTTGGGACAGTAACTTGTCCCTGACCTGAAGTGGCCTCTTTGCCATTTTCCATCTGAGGACCATGGCCTGACGGTGCTGATGGGATGGCCGCGAACCACTCCAGTGTGAGCTGGTGGCCAGCACCTGAAGAAGCCACCAGAACAACATCATCTGTGAAAAGGAGGGGTGGCTCCAGGGTGTGGCATCATGTGCAGCTGATCCACATAGCTGTTCTACATCAGCTAATCATGCTTCTATATATTTTCCCACAATCGCGTTTCACCTGTAAAATGACAAAGGTCTGTTCTATTGTATATGAGCAGGATGCCGGGTCACGAAGGGAGCTGGAGGACAGGACAGAACTGAAGGGTGCAGCTGGAAAGCTGCTAAGAAGAAACTGTTTAAAAATGAACTGTAGATAAACATTAATTTACCTTGTAACACTGTGTGCACCGGGTTATTTTTCATGAGTGATGCCAAAACCCAGTCATAAGATGATTGGCAAGAATGGTGGCAGAGCTAACCGCTGGATCAGGAGCAGGCGGTGGAGTGCCACAGACAGCTCAACTGACTGCAGCACCAGGACCAGGCCAAACACCGGACAAAACCACTGGAGGTTCGGTGTCTCTTGCCAACACTGCTTCCCCTGGCCCGGCAGTGACCCTCCACCGGATGGACAAGGCATATGACCCCCAGCCTTCATGGAGGTCTTCCAAGCAACAGTAAAGGCGTACCAGTGGCCCGCACTGGAGTGGTCACTGCAGCTGCTGCATTTGCTGTCCGGAGAGTTGAAAGTGGCAGTGGTGACCCTTCCTGCAACAGCAAGGGCCAACTTTTCAGATGTCCTCCAGGTAATACTGGAACAACTGGGGCTTGAACCAGAGGACCACTGCTGCCACTTCCGGAGAGATAGAACGGTGCCAAAGGAATGCCCATTCATCTATGCCATGTCGCCAGCCAGTAGCGGTTTTAGATACGGGCGACACGGGCGGTTGCCCGGGGCGGCTTCGTGGTGGGGGGGCAGCATCACGGGCATCAGCAAAAAAAAAAAAATTGCTCGTACTCATGCTGCCCCGACGTCAGCCAGCGCATAGTGGGAATGTCGTAGATACCGATCGGTTTTCTATCGCCCATTTGCTGGGAGTAAGGGCGCCCTCCGTTTGCGAGGTGCGCCTGCTGCTTGCGGAAAAGGGAGGAGAGGGCGGGGCGGCGGGGAGCAGCATCTAATAACCAACTCGCAAAATAAAAACAAACCAACAAACATGAAAACACCAGACATTATGATGCAGACTTATAATTTGCACTGATGGTTTTCCTCGGTGCGCCTGCTCGCTGCTGAAGTCAAAGTAAACTTTATTGTCATCTCCGCTACAGACAGTCCAGCATATAGAGACGAGACAACGAGGCTCCAGTTACAGCAGTGCAAGTAAACAAACAATAAATATAAGAAGAGTAAGAAAATAAATATACACTTTAGGACTCGGGGTAAAGGATCAATAACAATTTAAAATTTATATTTATTTGATGATTTAAAGCAGGGGTGATTCTAGGATCAGAGCTTTGGGGGTGCTGAGCACCCAGAGAGCTGCCCAGCCACCCAAGATACACTTTACTCGTCACAATGAGACTTCTTCCCTGTCTCTGTCGGTCCCTGCATCCTCCCTGTCATCGTCTGTTGTCTTCGTCTCCTTTATCAGTCATCATAATTTTACCCTCTCTGTGCAAGTCTGCAAATTTCTTTATTAAATCATAAGATTCTTAAATTCATCAAATCTCTGTGCCTGGGTCCTCGTCACAAAACATGACATCACTGTTTTGTGCATTTTAACACAATTTAATCCGTGAAAGAAAAACAAAACACTCTTTTGAAAAGTCTGTAACAAAACCATCAAATCAGATAAAGGTTATTTTAATGCTGCAAAAGAAGAATGGATTGGAATAAAATAAATACATATCCTAACCTTAATTACTGGGAGAATAATGAATGATGCTCACAGTGAGTAAAAAGTAAACTGAGTGCATTTTTTGGACAGAGATTCACTTTTAATGTGTATAATGTATAATACAGACACATAAAAACACTCCCGAAACAGAATAAATTATTACAAATAAATTATTACAAAATATGAATAAAACTATAAAAATGGAGGACACTTTGCCTGTGGTAGAATGTATACAATGTATGAAAAAATCTTTACTGCAGATACTAATTTTGTGTTGTAAGATTTATGAGTTTCATGCTTTCATAGTGGTGCTTGGGAGAGCTTGACATTTTTATCACGTGGTACACACTGTACAAAGTGTGAGAAACACTGATAAGTGTGTGTGTGCTTCTGGAAAACATTTAAAGCTGCTGTACAGAATCTTTGAAACAAGCTTAAAAAATTTTAGAATATAAACAGAGCATCTGCTCCTCTTTGCAGCTCCTCACTCCACCAGGGCTGTTTGGCTCTGATAGTGTGCAAATGTGATGCACGTACTGCACCAGTCATACAGACAACTGGACGGTCCAAAAGTTGGCCTACCTATTACTGGCTGAGGTTTTAGTAGAGTTGTGGCTGAACTACATTAAAATATATCATTAATTTTAATCTCCCCGATCAATGATAATGTTATGTTGGAATGTTGTTAAAGAGGGTCAAAATGTTTCAACCCAGTTTGTTTAGCAGATTCTGTACAGCAGCTTTAATATAGGGAGAACACAACTTCCAGACTGTGAGTAAAATCAGGTTTGTTCTCTTTGTCAGTTTAACAGTTTCTGTTGTGCCTGTCACTGTTCCCTGTCTGTTTGCTTACCTGGTTCTTCCTGACCTTGTACTTTCTCCTCACCTTCCCTCTTTCCTCTCTCCCTCTTTGGACTGACAATCACACACAAATAGATTCAATTAGGTGATAAATTACATTAACATGTAAAAAACAATACTATTAAGATCACTAATAAAAAGTCGTCTCTCAAAAGGCAAATAACCAAACCACATGAACATCTAATAAAAGATAAATATTGAAACACTGATCCAACATTATTCTTGATTGACGGATCATTTGATTTTACACTTTTACCTGAATGTGGCTCCTTTTTTTGAAAAAAAAAATATGTATAATAATCCTTATATCCATTATGAACCTGGCTGTCTCTCTGCACACACACACACACACACACACACACACACACACACACACACACAACAGGAGTTATAAGTTTAATGGGCATTCAGTCAGTTAGCTAGTTAGTATCCATTTCAAACAGGACAGTGGTAACAACAATGGTAACAACAGCAGGCTGTGGAGAATTATAAGTTTTGGATTTTAAATAGGCTGTATACATTTCAACGTTAGCAACAGGACGGTCAAATGTGGCTGATTTTACTACAGGAGGACGGATTGTAGGGTAGCAAACATTGTCAGAAAAGCAGCTAACATGTCCTGTTTTAAGCCAGACACTTACACCTCCGCTCTGCTGCGTCTCAGCCACCATCGCTCTGGCAGCAGGAGCTGGAGCCACAGCAGGGGAGAGCCGAGCTGTCTCTATCAGGTAACGTTCATATGTTGATTCATGGTTTTCTTCAGTTTTTGATCTACTGCAGAATATCTTTAAGGTTATCTGCTATAAAAACAAAACCAGGCCAGGAAAAGCTCCTTCATGTTTTTCTGTTTTAGCCTCAGTTACTTTGACACAAAAGCATCTGCAGTGATGCTCACACCTCACAAGTGTCTGCTTAGTTTATATAGATAGTTTACAGTGAAATAATTTGGAACGAAATATCTTTAATTTACAAGGTTTACAGGGTTCTTTTAACAGCCCATATCCAAAATAAATGATCATATTTATAATATTACTGACTGAGTCAAAATTGAATTGAATCCAATCATGACCTTGTGAATCAGAATAGAATCAGTTGTAGAAATCAGTGACAATAACCAGCCCTGCTTTTACTGTTTATATAAAGAAAGACAAAGTCCTGCCCGCTGCTCTACACGCATAATAAAAGCACAGTAACGTTATTACTGACTCACACAGATTTCTGTAGTCAGAGAAGATTCATTCATGCACACGGACTAGCTGACCAACACCTGCCTTCCCTGACCGCTAGCTCGTTAGTTAACCAGCTAAAAACACAGTTAACTTAGCGAAACAGTGCGGAGGGGTTTCGGGTCCGTCTGTCGGTTATTTTCAGTTTATTGAATAACACCTCAGGCTGTCAGTGTGTAACAGTCTTGGAGGTTCATTATCACTAACAGGATACTGTTTTCTTCACGGCTGACTCAGCGGAGGATTTAAAAACGTACTTACGATCGGTGAGAATTAGCCCATGAAAATCTGATAAATGTCACAGTTTTATAAAGAAAAAAGCACATTTAGTGTTTTTTCCTGTAAATATATATGTTTAAATGAATTAAACATAAAAATCTAGCGCCATGCCAGCTTCTAGCTTTGCTTGACAGTGTGTTAAACAAAGCGGATCACACGAAGCAGAAAACATAAAGAACTCTGAGGGCTGAGAGCGCAAAACGAAGCCGATCGAGCCCCAAACCTCCTGCAAACCTGTGCGGTTATTACAGTAAACACATAAACACAGCAGTCTTTCCTCTCTATGTCAAGAACAACAGAAGAGTCTAACGGCTGCAGCCATTTATTTCCTCTCCACACACTAACGGCTCGTTCTCTGGACGTTGAGCACCGTCAAAACTATAAAATAAGAAAAGATTGATACCCGTACAGTC